TTTTAATTTCTAAAGACGTTTCAACATGACTAGGCCGTGAATGTAACATTTTGTGAGAATATTTGATCATGATCAAATCTAATTCTGAAAATATTTCTATTTTTATAGTCCCCTCACAATTGTATCGCTCTAAAAAGGTAGGTGTATCTCTTTGCTTATCCAGAATTGGATGCTTAGCTTGACGTTTTCCAAGTTCTATTCGACAATTACAATAATATATAAGAAGCAAAGAATTTTTTTTTTTACTTTTATCACGGTAAACCCAAGAGTATCCATCACCCTCTGAAATAGATGCAATTATGCGACGACCAATTTCAAAGTCAAGATTTTCTTTATTTGACAATCCGGACCCATCTTTTTCCAAGATAAAGTCTTGAAATGTTGAAAATTCAATATTAAAGTTCACACTTAACGCCTCATTTTCTCCTTCATAAAAATCATTAGTGTTATTTAAAGACGTTAAGGAGTTATATACAACTTCAGTAATATTCATATGGCTAATTATTGGTCCTTGTGTTTTATTTTTCAAATAAGCCATTTTAAGGTTATTACGACATTTTAAGCACTTCGTTAAAACATCACCTTTTTCATTTAAAAATTCCTCAAAGCTTTTTGTTACGTGACATCCTATACAAGTTTTATTTTGTGAATTCGACATAGTAAATTTACAAAGTTCAAAGTGAAAGTCTAGTCTAGTCTAACAATTATCATAATAATATCATTATCGTTATTGTTTACTACAGTACGTATACAGTAATCGTCATCATTACAAATATAATACCGACAATCAGTATCCGAAATCACATACAGGCCAGTAAAAAATCCGGCTACAATTTATTCCGGGCGATGCTAGGTTGTTCTGGTAAATTATATGAAATCACGTGATTGACCAATACTGTCAAAAAATTTTTGTCCGAATCACCTTTTTTTTACTCTGACTCATTAAAACATTAGAAATATTAAATATAATAAAGTATTGCTCAAGTGTTTTCATACTTTTTATTTTATTTAGAATCCTCTCAAATAGTGGTTGAGATCTTTATTTGATCTATCGCTGCAATTAATCACTACTATACAATTATTTGAAAACACAGTAACAGTAACCCTAATTCCTCATGCAATATTTATTTGTATAACACCCACCTAAATACACAAAAGGAAAATCTAATGTAACACTATTATGCCTGCATAAATATCAAAATGGTAATTTTTCTTTTTTTTTTTTTAGCAAATTATGTCAGGTGCTTCGAATGAATTAGATGAATTAATTAACAATATTATTGATAAAGAAATTAATAAAATTAATAATGAAGGAAATAAAATTATAAAGAAATATGAACATAATCAATTTAGCAATTTAATAGAAATCAGTCGAGGTTCTTTTGGAAATGTTTTCAAAGCGACTTGGGAAAATTCTACGATTGTTCTAAAAAGTATAACCATTGACACTAGTCAAATCGATAGCGGAATCATTGGTGAAATTAAAAATGCAATCAATACCAATAAAATTATTCCTATTGAAACTACTACCGATGCGATTAAATTATTCATTACTGAGGTAATATATTTTCTATTTCGGTATTAATTTTTTTAGGATATAGTTTGATATTATCTAATTTTTTTGATGTATAGCTTCGAAGATTAGCTGCTGTTGATAAATATAAGCATCCAAATATTGTCCAATTCTATGGAGTCACTAATGGTAATCAAACATATAAAACTTGATAGATTATTTTTGAAACCAATATAAATCTTTATAAATTACTATTTATTATTTTAAACAGATCCTTTAAATAATCGATATAACTTAATATTACAATACGCTACAAACGGAAATTTACGCAAATACTTAAAAAATAACTTTTCGAAATTAGAATGGACTGATAAGTTACGATATGCGCATGAGATAGCTGAAGGACTATCATTTTTACATGCTAATAAAATTTTTCACAGAGACCTTGTAAGGGCTTATAAACATATGTAAAATATTATTTTTAATTAATGCGTACTAAACAACCTTTTTTTTTTTGTTTTATTAGCATTCAAAAAATATTTTGGTTCATAATGAACGAATGATAATTGCAGATTTCGGAATATCTAAACACATGAATGAAATAACAATGTTTAAAGCTAGTAAAATGTATGGATATTTAGAGCCTCAATGCATTGTAGAACCTTTATATAAATGTAATGAGAGTTCTGATATCTATGGCCTTGGAGTAATCTTTTGGGAGATTTCTAGCGGTAGGCCACCTTTCGATTACTTCAATGCTAGTGAAGCAATTATTTTTCATGTAGGCCAAGGAAAGAGGGAAACTCCCGTAGCGAACACACCAGATGATTTTGTTAAACTTTACCAACGTTGTTGGGATCAAGAACCTAAAAGACGTCCAGAAATTAGAACTGTTCTTGAAGAATTAAAATATATGCGGCTTTCTTTGATTGATGACCAAAAGGCTTTCCATGAAAAATGGATTGAAAGGAAAATCATTGAAGGGAAAATTAATGAGCATAATATTGATGAATTTGAAGATTATAAACGGATCAATGGTGGTGCTTCTAGTAAAGTTTATAGAGCAAGATTTAAAAGTACGAAAAATATATGTGCATTGAAGTATATTGAAAACAATAATCATACTAACAAAGAACTTGTAAATGAGGTAGGAAATATTTTATAAAGGTTATTTGGGAAAATTTTATATTATATGCTAAAATGCGTAATTATAACAATATGCAGCTAGATCATATGCTTACTATAGAATCTCATGAAAATATTATTAAATTTCATGGTATCACATATGAAGTAGATAGAAGGGATCCAAATGTAGTCGAATATGTACTTATTCTTGAGTATGCGGATAATGGAACTTTAAGAGAATATTTGCATCAAAACACGACTAAAATTGAGTGGGAATTAAAGATTCAATTTGCAATTCAACTCGTAGAGGCCGTTAAATGGTTGCATACTCACAATATTATTCACGGTGATTTGGTAAATGTTATAATATATAATTGTATTATGTTTCATGTAATTATAACAAATTTTGTGAATTTTCATTTCTTACTTAAAAGCATACCAATAATATACTTATTCACCAAGAAACTTTAAAATTGGCTGATTTTGGATTATCAAGACGTGTCATTGAAACTTCAAATTCTCAAACCTCAAGTGAAATTTTCAGTATTATACCCTATATTGATCCTCAATGTTTTTTTGGAACAGAGCAAAGCCAGAACGGGAATTTTCGCAGATATAAAAAGAATAAGAAATCAGATATTTACAGCATCGGGGTTATTCTTTGGGAAATATCAACTGAACGACAACCTTTTAAAAATGAAGATCCAGCAAGTCTACCAGCTAAGATAAGAGACGGGCTAAGGGAAAAGTCAATTGATGATACACCTCACGAATATGTCACTATTTATACAAGTATGCTTAATTATAATTTATAGTTTATGTTTTTATGGCTTTTAGTCATGGATATTTGACTTATTAGGATGTTGGAAGAGTATGCAAGACGATCGACCATCCATCGAAGAAGTAGCTATGGCGTTCGAAGACTTTGTTGTTCAAGACATCACGAAAGATGATAGTATTATTATACATGACATATCAGGATTTGAAGAACATATTAAAAACTCCTTCGAAAACATTAAAATCAATATTAAGCTAAATGCTGCTGCAGTTGGTCAGGATGAAATGTCTCTCTTTGTAAATAATCTATATTCGACTTTTAGTAAGCTATTTAATGAAGGTAGATCAGTTAGTGATATGATTACCAAGTTTATATCTCAAAATGATAAAACCAATGAAGAAGTTTTTCAATGGTTATTGGCAAATAACAATCGTTCAAAGTATACTTGCCTACTTGGATTATTTTATCGTTGGAATATTGGCACAACTGAAAATAACATAGCGACTCTTGTCGATGCGGCAAATAAAGGAGATGCTATTGCGCAATATTTTGTTGGAAGATGTTATGCAGAAGGTTGGAGCACCGATAAGGATAAAAGGAAGGCAATTGAATGGTACACTAAGGCAGCCGATAATGAATGTGCAGTAGCGGAACATATGCTTGGAGAATATTATTATAAACTTAGAAAATATACAAAAGCATTTGATTTTCTCAAAAGAGCAGTTGAAAATGGAAATTTTAAAGCATTGAATACCTTAGGATTATGTTATCAAAGAGGTCAAGGAACAGATACTAATGTAGTTAAAGCATTTAAATCATTTGAAGAGGCGGCATTATGGGGATTACCTCCTTCACAATATGAACTTGGAAATTGTTATGAATATGGAATTGGAACAGAAATAAATTGGGATCAAGCATCATATTGGTATCAAAAGGCTACAGGAGCAAATCCGAATTATCAAATTCACCTGAAACGTGCTGACATTAAAAACAATAGTAATCATTATTAATCTAAACTAAATTGTTCTTTCAAGCCATTTTATATTATGTTAGACGAAAATTAAGTTGTTCTAGCATATCTTATGAGGATCCAGTATTTTTATTTATCATCACGCATGATTTGATTCTATGGAATAATTTTGGGACTGAATACTGAAATATGATAATTTCAAAGTCATGAGTGCGAATGCCATCGAATTTATCTTTATTAAAAATCGAAGAGAAGATGCTTAATTTTGTATTTTGATAAAAATTATGTTGTTCTTATTATACATAATAGTTTAAAGAAATGCCATTATCTTTCATTTTTAGAGTTAAACTCATTAAATCATCTTTTTTATTATATTAATTACGTACACGTTTTTAATATTCAATATGTGTGTCTCAAAAAGAAGTTATATGCTTAAATTAATTACCAATACTGTATCTTCGCTCAAAGTTGGAGAAAAGTCAAAACGCCTATCAAAATAAAAGCTACGCCAATTTTTTTAAAGATTTGTGCGAATATATTTCCACAACAACCTATCCAAATTTGATGAACTTTTTTTAATTTAAAATCTATGAATCCAAAAGATTCATATAAAAAATCTTTATCGGATTTGTTGGTGGTTGTCGAGATAATTTTTGAAAAATTGCAGCTTTTATTTTGATAGGTGTTTGATTTTTTTTTCTAACTTTGAGCGAAGATATCTCTACAACTACCTAACCAAATTCGATAAAAATTTTTATTATAATTCTATGAGATCATAGAATTCGAATAAAAAAATATTTATCGACTTTGGTCAGGTGTTTGTGGAGATAACTTCGCTAAATTTTTTAAAAAATTGGCGTAGCTTCTATTTTAATAAGCGTTTTGATTTTTCTCTAATATTGAGCGAAGATACCTCCATAATCATGTGACCAGATTCGATGAAAATTTTTTTATTTAAATTATATGGGTTCATATAATTCAAACAAAAGTCAAATTTATCATATTTTGATATAAGGTTTCGAAATTTTTATTTTTCCCTTCTTGATAACATCACGTGACTACCTTGTTCTTAAACCCTTCCGTAGAATTCCGTTACAAAAGTGTCTAGACAACCTAAGTTTTATCTATATTTTAAATATGTTTAGCAAAAAACTATAAGTTTCCGAAAGTAACAAAAATACCCACGACACAAGCTCTGAAATTCGAAAGAACGAGTACAAATACATTCGCAATAATTTACCTGCCAAGAACGAAATACCACAAGGTCACAGAATACCGACACTAATCATCAACTCTACAAATAGTGACCTATGCCCAATTCAAATATTAAAAGCATATGCGAACCTCAGGACCAACCCAACATACAATCTGAGCCAACGGAAAGTTAGCTACGAAAGGCTAATTTGTAAGCAACCTCAGGTCGCTTTTATCCAATGTTAATGTAGAGGTCATGGCTTTTGAGCGGGAGCGCTCGTGCAAAGGATAGGCAGTGGTCATCAGACGCCTTTTTCAAATTCAAACGCACCCAGTAAGAATAGTGGCAATTCTTAACGATTGGAAGATCTATAATTAGAATATTTTTTTATGTATTATCTGGCAATTAAACCAAATTTAGGGAATTATTATTTCCACTATAAAAATTTGCTAATTCCACCATTATAACTAGCATTACAATAAAAGACTGTTTACAGCCGTTTTTAAAAATGTGTGAACAACGAATTCCATATATCTATGTGAGAAATCAAAGAATTTGGAAATTTAGATTAGTAAAAATTAAACTTCGGGTCTTGAAACTCCGGAATATTCTGTACTCCCCATGACACGGTGGTCTGCGACCGTTCATCCCTTTTTGAAAACAGCTATAAAAATAATCCTGACCTAATTTTGAACATAATTTACACATTTATGGAAATACAACACTATAAAGAACTTTTGTCCAAATTTTACTGGCAATGTTCTAAAGTTATTCCGTTCGAATGTTCTGAACATATGCACCTTATGTTTATATCTAATGTTGTTAATCCAAAAATTCCTTTTTTCACATCAATATCGTACTTGCATTCGAAATTTCGAACTTTTTTTCGGACTATGCCTACAATAATTGAATAAACTTTTCTTTATAGGCAAATTACCTGCGTAGTGGGAATAGGGGCACACTAAATTTGTTTGATTATTTTTTACTTAAATCGACTGTAACACCATTAAGGGGTCTTTGTTTAATAATTAAACATACGATTTAATTCATTATAAAATTAGACTATAAAAATAACTATTTTAGGAAAGCTATAATGGAGTATATAGTTGGTGGTACTGCATCATTTATTAACAAAATCTGAACTTGGCTAATTGTTATACGTATAATGAGAACAATCATTAATTATTCGATGCATGCACGAATTAATATTAAATACCTTCGACCTTTGATAATTTTTTTATCTCTTTTCCATTAATCTCAATTAAGAACATTAAATTAAAATGAATAATGAAAATAAAATTACAGATTGGAAAATAATTTCAGGAATATTATATGGAGTAGGATATAATATTAACAAAATTATAGGTAAATCGACAGGCATTACATTTGACATCAAATAGCATACTACAGTGACGAATGACCTAATAATTATTTGTATATAAAATTATAGGAGCAGGTTCGTTTTTTTTGATTTTTATTTCCAAAACTTTTTTTTTTCTGTGAATAAAGTTTATTATTATTATTTTAAATAGGGATTTTTAACCCAGATGTGATATTGAAACTAGTCCAGTCACCAGGAATTGCTTTATTGCTTTTTATTGTTTGTGGTTTCATAAGTATTTTAGGCAGTTTAATCTACATTGAGGTGATAAAAATGACGAATAACGAATTATCAATTGAAATTCCTTGATTATTTAATATTTGATCATCATTATAAATTGATTGATTTTATTCATTTATAGTTGGGAATTAGGTCGTTACCAAGCGGAATAGGCGAACAAAAATATATTTCTGATGCTTTTCCAAGCAAGAAAAATTTTGGAAATAATTTTGGACATGTGTTTAGCTATGTTGCAATTTTGTGTGTGAATTTCTAAATACCCTCTAAAATATTGTATATTCATACACATAATAATAATTTATTCAATTGTTCATAATAGTATAATATTGCCCGGAGAAATAGTAGCTGTTTCTTACAGTTGCGCTCAATATCTTCTTTACATTCCTCGAGGAAATTTTATAAATGACTATGATCCCACGTAAGCAAAATTTTTTTTTGAATTTTACACCTAATTACGTTATTAGTGGCCGAGAAAGCTGTTATATGCGTAGTTTAGTATTATACCAGTAGTAACTTTGAATGAAATTTAAGTGTTACTAATATATTCAGGCGAAACTTAATTATTAAATGTTGTTGGAATATAACAAGAGGTCATTGTTATTACTATACTACTTTATATGATAATCAGAAAGCTATTAAAATCGTACACGTTCGCTAACGGAAATAGGCTAATAGTAGCAATAAAAATCAGAAGAAAATTCATCAGTCTGAATTTGATTCCAAATGTGCAAAACCGATAATAAATAGCTGTGTAATTTTAATTTATTAACATAAGATATCTATCTATTTTTAATTTGTAGAGCAATGATTGTTTCGGTTTTAATTTTACTCGTTATCACGTTATACCACGCGTCCTCTAAAAAAATTTCCGACTACATTAATCAATCGCTAGCCTTGATAAAGGTTATTTCTTTACTTATTATTTCGATAGTTGGACTAGTAAAATTAGCAGCAAATGGTTTTGCTAATTGGATTAATGTCTTCAATGTATCCTCTAATTCTGGTGTATATGAGTTTGGTGCATATGGAAATGGTTTAATACAGGTAAATTATATAGGTAAAGCATATAAGTAAATTATATATAAAATTGATATATTCTAATTGTTAACTAAAAATTATGTAAAATTTAAACTTAGATTTTATTCGCATATGAAGGTGTGTTAGTAAACATTTCATGCATAAATCGCAAATTGCTAATTATATTTTATTTCTATCACAAATATTCAAGGATGGAATAATATAAATTGTAAGGAACTTTTTATGTTAAATTTGATTTTAAAAGCATAATTGATATTAAATTTCTTTTATAGATTTAATTGGAGAATCAATAGAAACAGGCCCCGATGATCTAATATCTCCCTCCCTAATT